AAGTTTATTTTTGGCTAAATATGGTCGTGACCATTGTTTACAAGCCAGAAAGCAGCGTGATAGTACTAGCTAAGATCCCGGTGGCTGCCTTCTTACCAACTAATGACGCCGTGTAGCCTTGACAACAGGAAGTGTTCAGTTATTGGCAGTATCAATACCACCAATAAATGACTTGACTTCGGGCTGGCAAACCAACCAAATAGTTCGGCCAGTTCATGAATTCTGAACAGAGAATGTTTTGGTCCAGCTTAGCATAGGGCCAAACCTGAACTGCGTGTCCAATTGTCACCTTAAAAAAAAAGACCTGATAAAAAAACAATTACCATCGTCAAAAATTAGAAAATGTGCCGTGTATAAATACATATAGCCTGTTATCACTGTTATCAAGAGGCTGCAGGACATCAGCACATCAGCAGTGTTAGGATGTAAAAGAGATGAAAAAAGGTAAAAACCCTTTTCTCCCCCCCAAACCCCAATCCCCCAGGATACACAGAATTTTGCTACCTTCATAACATCCAGTGAGGGCTTACATCTTTTTAAAGGTCTTTGATCCTGCTCAGACGATCAGAAGTGATACATTTCAGGCACAGAGATACATTGTAATATTCCGGTCCCTGAAATGTATCATAAACATTGGGCCAGTCTATCCAGTCTATCCAGCTGTCAAAACGAATAGCAGAGAGGTGAGTCACTCTGCTACCTCTCTGCTATCTTCAGCAGTCAAATACGGGATCGCTATTTAGCGCTCCCATATTTGTATGTAACAGCTTCATTCTTTCATTAATGAAAGAAAGAAGCTTTTACAAAAGCTTAACTACTTTATTTATGAATGCTTCAACACTGAGGCATTCATTAATGACTGGTAAACGCTGAGAATCAGCGGTTACCGGCATTACAGAGACTGATATAACACGTCACGTATAGTGTACGTGGCCAGTAATGAAGGGGTTAACAGACCTGTCAGTCCCTACAAGGCCATCTCATTAATCTCTCCCTATGCAGTTTGTCAGCGGCACTCTCTATACTTTCCCTATCACAGATAAAGTACACTCTCAGTATGACTGCTGTGGCCTCACCTTTTTATAGTGAGGGGCCTTGCTTATCAAAAAGCAAAACAAATAGCAAACGCACTCATCAGCTCATAACCAGCTTTAAAGCAAGGTGCACATTGAAGGGCTCTAAACAGTAAAACAACAAAAAGTTTCCCAGCACACTCACCAGCCAGCATGCAAAAAAAAAACCTGTGTAACCGCTAAGATTAAAAACAGAGGTTTTAGATACACATCCTCTGCAGAATATGTGAAAGCCGCACTGCCTCGCCAAGGCTCCTCTGTTTAGTGCAGTCATAACTCTAACCTATGAGAGTCTCCATCTTGGAGCACATCTAGCAAAAGATAAAATTGGGTGCAGGTTTGCCAGGATGCAGCCCAACCTCCTTAAAGGCACAGGGACACACAAGGGACCCCGCACATCACAACGGCAGCTGAGACCCTCAGTGTGTCACTGCACCAAATCAATCAAGCAAAACAAATGGCAACCACACTCATCAACTCATAACCAGCTTTAAAGCAATGTGCACATGGAAGGGCTTTATACAGTCCAACAGAAAAGGGTTTCCCAGCACACTCACCTGCCAGCATGCAAAAGAAAACCTGTCTAACCGCTAAGGTTAAAAACAGAGGTTTTAGATACACGTCTTCTGCAGAATATGTGAAAGCCGCACTTCCTCATTAAGCCCCCTTTGTGTAGTGCGCTCCTAACTCTAACCTATGAGAGTCTTCATCTTGGAGCACGTGTTGCAAAAGATAAAATTGGGTGCAGGTTCGCCAGGAGGCAGCCCAACCTCTTTAAAGGCACAGAGGGGCCTGGACTAGGCAGTGGACTTCGGCTAGTTTCCTGATTACCTGTGACGTGGCCCGCTGTGCCTCCTGACCTCTCTCTGGATCTCTGCCTGCCCATTGTGACCTTAGCCTGCTTACTGGACTCTGCATTTTGCCTTCTGCACTGTACTTTCATGACTGGCTGTCATTGACCCTGGCTTGTGACCCCGACTCTGCTCCTGGTTTCTGATTTGGTACCTCACTGCTTGACTGTAACCGACCTTCGCTTGTGACCCAGATTCTGCTCCTGGTTCCTGCTTTGGCTCTCTGCTGCTGTTACCAGCCTACAGTCATCCAGTTCATGCACCTGACCTCTGCGCAGATCCAGCCCCCAACACCTGAACTGCCCCCAATCACCATCTGCATAACTTAACCAGTAAACAGTCTGAGAGCATGTTTACACCAGAGCATTGCATTAGCATGCAGGTAGATGCACACATTACTGAAAGATGTGGTGATGCGCTGCAAAAGCATTGGTGCAACCTGGTGCTATTCATTTTGACATACAAACAAGCTTATGTTGCAGCACAATGCCCACTATGGTAACACAATGCCGTGTGTTACCAACAATGCTACTTGTGCAGTTTTTGGTCTCTTGGTGCATTGGCATTGCAATGGATTGGCATGATTTGAAGTGCCAAGAAGGCCCATTTCACATTAGCAACCCATCGATTTGGCCAGCAAAGGAGCCATATTGTAGGAGCGGGTGGGTGTTCCTCACTTAAAACTGTTTCTGCAATTCGCTGCCAGCGCCAGAATTGTTTGTGTTTTTAATGGCACTTAAACAGCATCTCAGAAAAAAAAACAAAAACGGTATTAACAGGAGTGTGGCTAATTTGGCTTCCAGCTCTGTGCAGACTTCTGGTAAAACAAACAAGCTAATCGTACGTGTAAGAAATGTCTGAGAAACACTCAATCAAGTGACATCACGGAAATCGACATCACCGGACTCCTCCCCCCTTCCCCAAGTGGCTCCGTCGGCTAACGAAGGGAAGGGGGAGGAGTCCAGTGATGTCGATGTCCGTGACGGCTGACGAAGGGAAAGGGGGAGGAGTCCGGTGACGTTGATGTGCGTGACGTCACCGGACTCCTCCCCCCTTCGTTAGCCGACTGAGCCATTTGGGACGGTGAGTTTGCCCAAGAAACTTTGTACACGAGCGCCAGCCAAGGCATTGGCCTATACACACACAGCACAGCAATGAAGTAATAAAATGGCTCAGTCGGCTAACGAAGGGGGGAGGAGTCCGGTGACGTTGATGTGCGTGACGTCACCGGCCTCCTCCCCCCTTCGTTAGCCGACTGAGCCATTTTATTACTTCATTGCTGTACTGTATGTGTATAGGCCAATGTAGTTGGATCTGTATGTGCGTTATAATTAATCGAAATTAATCGATTAATCGTTTACATTTTTTTTCCGATTAATCGAATGCGAAAATTGTAATAATTACCAGCCCTAACAAAAACACATGTTTCTGCTCCTGTACTACAAGTAATGCATACAAACGCTTGAAAATGTATGTGAATGCATGTACGAACGCTAATTTTCTGTAAATCACCTGGCTATGCTCACGCTTACATGTGAATGCAGCCTCAGCATGTTCAATTCATTGCCAAGGACACCCCAGAGCACCTCCAACACACACGTTGCAGTACTCTACAATGCACGGTTAGGCTGCCCATACACCTTGCAATCATTGGACGGCGGCCCCATCCTTAACCCGACCATCGCACAGTTCAATTAGCAGTCTTTAGCAGAAATCACCTGGACGAATTTCGTTAATCGACCGCACGGATTTTCGTTTGCGCATGAGCAGTATATTATCGTACGAATTTGACGTACGGAAACATCATTAACCTTGCGAAAATCGTACGATCGATCGAGGTTTTCTAGCCTGCTGGAAAGACGAACGTCGTACGATTGTATTGCATTTGCGGTTGTACACTGCCCATCAACCTTACGAATATCGGACGAAAACGCGATCGCAAACGAAAATCGGCCGATATTCGTAAGGTGTAAGGGAACCTTTACACACTGCTGTGTGTTGTGTTGAAAAAAAGGTGCATGTCAGATTTTGGTCTGCTTTAGTGTTTTGGCAAACCATTCATTTGATGTAATGCGTGTTAGCGGAACTAAACTGAAATATAAAAAATTGCGAGCAGGAAGGCTTTTTGTTGCATTTTTCTTCTGCAATACAACAAACCAACCAGCCTGTTCACAATCTTCCTTAGAATGTATCCTGCGTAACTGTGTAAACGCTCTTGGCACACCTTTGTGCTAGTGGATGAATGAACTCCCATGTACATGCCTGGGACTTAGTTCATCCCCTGCCAGTTAGTCAAGACGGTCGAAGATCCAGCACCCAAAAGAAGCTAGGGAGAAGATGATGGTGTCACAAGACAGCAAAGTGAGATGAGTTAAATTTTGCTTTAATTTTTGCGCGTGTTAAATGACTTTCAATACTGATGAAACACTTAGAATGGATGCTTGTTTCCTGCAGAATTAGCTGGTAACCTGAACACTGGCCATGAGATCCTGTTTTAGGCTCCTTTCCCTTGCAGGGTCCTATATGGTTGTCCCTTGTGATCTTGTACTGGACAGGAAGTTTAGGGAAGCCGAGCTGGGAAAGTAGGAGCTGTTCAGAAACATGACGACTGTAAGTGTTTGGGCAAAAATGTAAATACATTATTTGCTGGCCAATGCATAGTTGATGTGGATTCATTACTAAAAAAAGGTTGAGTGTTTAATAATACTTTAACGCACCGGAGTGGACAGGTCTCTAAATGGGCACTTATTTTTTGTTTGTGTCTCCAAAACAACACTTTGTTTACCATCTGTAATGTTTTTAAAAACATCAACATAAAGTACAAAAAGATAATAGCATGTGCAGCAATTCTATATAACATTTTTGTAGTAAATGCTCCGCTTTTACTTTTCTCTAAAAGTTCTTTAGCACCAGAGTAATGCGGTTAATAATAGCACCGAGCATGTCATCGATCTTTTTCCAGCACGTCCTGCCTTCTCCAATGCAAGCGGCACCCAGGTTAGGTTGCCATGACAACACAACACCGCTGTACTGGCGGAAGCTCCCGGGCTCCGACTTCCGGAACGTCACTTCCTCCCCATCTCGCGTGGACTGACTGCTGTGTGATCACGTGTTCCCACTGCCCTTGGCCGCGTGAGTTGTGATCATCATGGCTGCTATGTTAGCAGGAGCCCGGCTTGTCCTTCGCCAGGGACTGCGCTTCCTCCCGGCTTATAGAGTGCGGCCGGCGGCTGTGCCAGTCAGGTGAGTGCCTGCCTTCCTCTCCCCTTCTCTGTGTGTGCCTTGCAGAGTGTCAATGACATGTCTATGTCATGTATGTATTGCTGGAGTCACTTGTCAAGTATGTGACATGCATGGGAATTCTATGTGTATGTCAGTGCCAGGGACGGGCCAGGGGGGCAGATTTGTCTTGGAAAACTGTGCTGCCTGGCTGAACTCTGCCTCGCATTTCATTTATTTCTGCATCAGATTTGCATTGTGTATTCTTAATACCCGCAATCAGAGAAGTAAGGTCACTGGCTTTGCTTTGGGTAATGCTAGTTGCCTGGCTGTGTCTGCTTTTTGAGTTGCAGTGGTGACTGAAGCCTTGAGCAAAGTTGAAGTGTCAGAATTGCCATATCTCTGCCTGTTCTGGGTCAGGAACCCAAATGTTGGAAGCCAAAGCATCAGTGCAAGGCCTGTGTCAACGGGCTTTGGTTTGCGTTAGGCGGATCAAAGTCTATGGTGATACAAATCCTTCTTAACACAGGTGAAATGCAGGTAAGATGGAGGTCTTGTGTACCGGTCAGTAAATTCTTAATGATCTCAGAAGCATCTGAAGCGGACACCAGTCCTAACAGCCAGACAACCAACATTTTCGGGGGGATAGCCCAGCAGTGACATGTTGTTTTGACGGGTGTACATAAAAGCAGAACTGAATTTACTTCCGCTCCATTATTTCTGCCTCTGCAAACTCCTCTCAGACGCCGACATCCTCGCCTGATCTTCTGGGTTGGTCAACTTTGGCCATTATGGATGGCCGGCCCGAAGTGGCGTAGTCCTGGACCAAAGTATGCAGAGGAGGTACATTAAGCTGCGTACGCGATGTTTTCAGCGGAGTCCAATAAGAGTTAAAAACGCTGACACAGCGCAGCATCCAGCGAGGAGGAGAGAAACTGTCGCAGGTGGCCGAGCTGTGCGGGAAGAGAACTCTGTGTAGCCAGCGTCTCTCCTCCCACACTGCTGAGCATCCTGTCACAGATCAGAGGAAAGCAGTGTTGGCAGAGACAGCCAGTGCTGTCACAGCAGGCTGAGCTCTGCTTGCTGTGACAGCTAAACCAGGATGGAGATCGGGTACAAGCAGTCAGCGATCAGTGATTGCTGAGTGTTTATAAATGAGGACAGAGTATGGTTACTATATCCTCAATTATGAATAAATGGGAAGTGATCTACATCTCATTGAAACTGTCATATGTCGACTTAATTGGTTTATGTGTTTACATACCTGTCAGAGAAAACTCTGAGGTTCCTTGGGTTTGCAGTCAAATGGTCACCGGGTTCTACACATATAAATTTCTTCTTTCCCTTTAGGTCTCTTGTCAGCCTCCATGCATTTTGCGCTTGTATATCATTATGGATGCACCAATACTGTTTTTTTCTGTATCAAGTACCTATATCTTGCTTTCGGTACTTGCCGATAGAGTACTGATACCGGTGCTGCCGCTGGCATGAAGTCGGCTTCCTGGGCAATCGGCAAGCCGGAGTGGCATTTAATGACATGCCGCCCTACTTCCTGATTGCCTAGGAAGCCAGCTCTGTGTTCGGCAGGGAAACCGGTTTCCCAGCCAATCAGGAAGCCGGGCGGCAAGTAATGACCCGCCTGCAGGCTCCATGCTGATTGGCTGAGAAGCCAGCATCGAGCCGGCCGCAGAGTAATGACCTGGCTTCCTGATTGCCCGGGAAGCCGGCTCTATGGTCCCCAAAACAGACATGGTTTACCATGCTATGCAGCCTTCGGTACTTACAACTTGTGTGTGTAGAGCTTTATGATTGTGGGCCATATATTTTCTGCTTTAGTAGTGGCAAGTCATACTCTCACGTGCTGTCCTTGGAAATTGAGTTACCAGGTAACTAACTTTTTTTTTTTCTATTTTAGAAGATGTCTCAGTAGCTCAGCAAGGTTTCTTACCACAGCTGTACTGGATAAAAGCACCGTAGATGTGGAGCATTTTGAGTCAAATCACCGCACACAATCACAGTCCGACAGTTGGTCACTCTATCAAATGGGGAAGAGGTTGAAAAAAAATGGACGAATTAGTAAAAAACATTTTCTTGACTCTTTTGAAGAGGTCTGCAAAGCAGGTAACATATTTCTCTTAGTATTTGAACTTCAGCTTTGTCTTTGCTCATGTCTAGTGTAAGGGCGTAAATATATTAAAATTACAATGATGTTCGCGCCCCTATCTATCCCCAGTTATAAATGAACAGGAAGCCTCTATACTGAGTGTTCCTGTTCATACATAACTTGTGGAGATAGTATGTTTACTAGGCATGCACTGATATATCGGCCGAAAATGGCACTTTTGGTATAATGCTGAAAGTGCCATTTTCTGTCTGATACAGCGGTGCATCCATTCTTTCTCTCCTCCCCGCTGGGCACTGCTTTGTGTCCCAGCTGGGAGCAGAGAAACTGTCACAGGCGGCCGCGCGGTGCGGGAGGAGAGCACTGTGAGCGGCCAGCGTCTCTCCTCCCACACCGCTCAGCCTCCTGTCACAGATCAGAGAAGAGCAGTGTGTGCGGAGACGGCCAGCGCTGTCATCAGTGATCGCTGAGTGTTTGTAAATAATTGAGGACAGAGTATGTTGACTATATCCTCAATTATGAATGAATGGGTGTGATCTACATCACCTCCTGTTCATTCATGATTGTGGTAATAGCAAACATACTCTGTCCTCGTGTTTATAAATGAACAGGATCACTAGTGGAGGATTCCTGTCCATTTATAACAGGGGCTGCAGAAAAAGAGATTGAGGACTCTGTGTCCTCAATCTCTTTTTCTATTTTAAAAAGGAAATATCAGGGGTCTGTTTAGACCCCTGATATTTCCCAGAAGCCCCTAAATGTAAATTTAAAAAATAAATTAAATTAAAAAGTTTATAAAAAAAAAAAAAACTTTTAAAAAGTAAAAAAAAAACATTTTCGGTTTCGCCCTAACCTTCTTTTTTTTTTTCTTCAGTTTAATTTCAGTTTCGTTTCTGAAATTTTCATTTCGGTGCAGCTCTAACCTTTACTATATCCCCAATCATGAATAAACAGGAAGTGATGTAGATCACCCCCATTCATCCAAAATTGGGGATGAAGTAAGCATACTCTGTCCTCCAATTATTTACAAACACTGATAGCTGAGTGCTTGTACCCTCTCCATCCTGACATGCTGTGACAGGAGGCTGGGCAGGACAGGGCAGGAGGAGAGCTTAGCCTCCTGTGGCAGTTTGTGTCCTGCCTGCTGGGACACAGAACAGCGCCCAGTGGGGAGGAGAGAAACCAGAGATGCGCCGCCATTTAAGCCAAAAAATGGCACTTTCTGTTTTTTGCCAAAAGTGCAATTTTTGGCTGAAATTTTGGTGCATCCCTATTAAATACTTGGATCAGATATTGCACTCTGCTATATAAATTAGTAAATATATAAATTTACTATAAAGTGAAGAGGTGCAAAAAATGTATTTAAAGTGCATAAAAGTTTGTGTTATAAAAAAAATGTTAAATGTTATCCCCAATTAACAGGTACAATAATACATATACAAGTGCCTCTATCAAACAGGCCCAAATGCTCAAAAAATGTGCCAGTTCATAATCGGAGTAAATATATATATTGTCAGTATAAAACAACTCTAAATGTCCCCAAAAGTGCCAATGTGCAATAAAATATCCCAAATGTGTTCCAAAGGTGCTCCTCTGATCCCTTTCACAGTGTTCCTTCCAGATTCAATAAACTCACCGGATAGGATGGACCATTATTAACAAATTGTCAAATAGCACTTAAATTTATTTCTTCTGCACCTGGCCCCTCAAAATGCTATCTCCATATACCAGGGGAGAAATTTATTACAAGGTTACAGCACGAGTTATAAATTCCTTTTGGCTATTCAAAAGTAGCACTGTGACAGCAAAAAACCTGACCCTGAACACTTTGTAATTATTCAAACTTTGCAAACTGTCACAGTTGTCTCCCCTGTAAACCTGTTGCAGAGGCTTTGCTGATAGAGAGGCAGCCTTATTTGAGACTATGGGGTTGATTTACTAACCTTATAAACACGCCACGAACAAGTATACACCTCTGTAGTGTGTTCCCTCCCAGCATGATCTATGGGTGGAATCTAGACACCTTTTGTAGTGTGTACACACCCAGCAGGTGTGTTGTGCAAAGCCCTGCATGAATTGCAAGGTGATGTTGTGTAAATTAGCTCTACGTTGTGTTGCTTGCGTTGATGAATGCAGGAATGTAAATGCATGAGCTAACCATTTTTGTCTAAACTGTGAAGCAGCATTATATATGCATCATGTGCATGATTTTTCCATATATGGCATTAGTGGAAATATGCTTTTAGAGACTTGCATGCCGCTATTAGAGCGGCGTGTAGCCTATGGCGCATGCTACATGACGCGCACGTACGTAAATACATAAAACGTGCCATAATGGCGTGAAAATAACCATTATAACGCGCCATAATGGCGTTGATAAATACGTTTTGCTGTGTAAAAATGCACACGCACCTGGTGCGTGGGTGTGTTTAGGTTAGTAAATCACCCCCTATGCTGCTAATGTGCTTGATAAATGTCCCTCATTGTATCTTCGGAGAGGATCTCTAGAAGAGAGGCCTGTTAAAAAAAAAAAAAGTACACACACACACACACACACACACACACACACACACACGCTGTGTGCACAATAGGCAAGTGAGTATTTTGAGAAAATCACAATTTTTATACATATTGTCCAACTCCAAGCTGTTTAAACTTGAAGGCTTATTGGATTTATGCATATCCGGTGATGTGTATTTGTGTAATGAGGGAGGATGTGGCCTAAGGAGATCAACACCCAATATCAAGGTGTGCATAATAATTAGGCAGCTTCTTTTCCTCAAGCAAAATGGGCCAAAAAAGAGATTTAACTGACCCTGAAAACTCAAAAATTGTAAAAAGTATTTTAGAGGGATGCAGCACTCTTGAAATTGCTAAGATATTGGAGCATGATCACAGAACGCTCAAACGTTTTGTTGCAAATAGTCAACACGGTCGCAAGAAACGTGTTGAGAAAGAAAGTCGCAAAAGAACTGCCAAAGATTTGAGAAGAATCAAACGTGAAGCTCCCAGGAACCCATTATCCTCCAGTGCTGTCATATTCCAGAACTGCAACCTACCTGGAGTGCCCAGAAGTACAAGGTGTTCAGTGCTCAGAGACATGGCCAAGGTAAGGAAGGCTGAAACCCGACCACCACTGAACAAGACACATAAGTTGAAACATCAAGACTGGACCAAGAAATATCTGAAGACAGATTTTTCAAAGGTTTTATGAACTGATGAGAGTGACTCTTGACGGACCAGACAGATGGGCCCGTGGCTGGATCAGTAACGGGCATAGAGCTCCACTTCGACTCAGACGCCAGCAAGGTGGAGGTGGGGTACTAGTGGGCTGGTATTAATAAAGATGAGCTAGTTGGACCTTTTTGTGTTGAAAATGGACTTAAAATAAATTCCTAAACCTACTGGCAGTTTTTAGAAGACACTTTCTTCAAGCAGTGGTACAGGAAAAAGTCTGACCATGATATTTATGCAGGGCAATGCTCCATCGCATGCATCAAAGTACTCCACTGCATGGCTAGCCAGTAAAGGGCTGAAAGAATAATGACATGGTCCCCGTCCTCACCTGACCTAAACCTTATAAAGAACTTGTGGGCTCTTCTTAAACGGGAGATTTACGGTGAAGGAAAACAGAACACCTCTCTGAACAGTGTCTGGGAGGCCGTGGTTGCGGCTGCACAAAAAGTTGATTGTCAACAGATGAAAAACTGACAGACTCCATGGATTGAAGGCTGATGACTGTTATTGAAAAGAAGGGGGGCTATATTGGTCACTGATTTTGTTTTAGATGTCAGAAATGTTTGTAAATTTCGAGTTTGTTTATTATTCTCACTTTACCAGATGAAAACAGACAAGTGAGATGGGAACATTTTCGTTTTCCATTTAGTTGCATAATAATCCCGCATACTAATAGTTGCCCAATAATTGTGCACCCATTGATATTCTCCTAAAACAGACAAAACCTCACTTTTACTTTCTTAAATATTCAGGTTTGAGGTTTATTAACATTTTAATAATTAATAATACATAATTGACCGAGAGCACTGTAGTTGTTCAATAATGAAATTAATCCTCAATAATACAACTTGCTCACACACACACACACACACACACACACACACACTTTCTGAGACACTGGCTTCGAAACGGTATGCAGATCAGGAGTTCTGACTTCACTCTATGCATGCAGGTTAGTCCTTTGGAGTGCATTGCAGCCTTTGCATCATTATAACAGCCAGGCAACTACCATATTCAAAAGAAGGCCAGCAGTGGAATCCACAATATTTCTCTTGGCAAAAGTTAATTTGCTGCCTACAGCTTCATGTTGTATATCTGCAGTGTGTGATCTAAGGCACTGTTGCCTCTAACTTCTAGTTAGGAGACATAGAGTATGATTTAATGAAGTCACTGTTGTGCTACTTGCTGTTCTCCTTCCTGGAGGCACTGACCAGAGGAAGTAAAGCCCAGACTCTACCAAGATAGTCACCTCCACACAGAGACGTGCAAAATGAGCTATGTGACAGCGTCTCCCTAAAGTAATTGAAGTGCTTGTGCGGCCATGTCTCTGTCTTTGCCGCTCCAATCATACATATGTGAATTAAGTTGGCAACATTTCCATCCCTTCCCGCTAATCCCTATTTTTCATTCCATTGCCCCATTTCTTCCCTTTGACAAGGAACACGATGTAGTAATGTAACATGCTTTCTCCTATCAGGTAAACCATCTAGCAGCCAGGCGTGGCTTCTCTTGCAGGCATGCGGGTCTTTAATGCCTGGGGTACCTCCTGCAGAAAGAACAGAAATTGCAGACAGCGTCTGGAACAAGATGAAAGAATTGGGTATGGAATCTTTAATTCTCTAATTTGAGTGCTGTGGCTCATAGGTGAAGTCTATTTGTGTTGTGTGTTTAACTAAGTGGACCTTGCATCTGAAAAGCAAAGAGTCCCTCCTTTCTGAAACGCTGAATAAAATTGAAAAATAAAAAATATCTGTATGGGTGGGGGTAGAGAGTGACATCATATACTTATATTTTCCCTGGTCTCTGGCAATGTGACATGATCATTCTGGGGAATGTCGAATAGCCTAAATCTCACTGAGAAGGCAATCCTGCACCATGCTGCTCCATCTTGTGCTGAGATTTGGAGTACTAAGCATTCCCCATGACCTTGTCCACAGGGTGGCGAACTCATTCCTTGGGCTAGGTGGAAAGGGGAGTTTATTATGTAACTCTTTTTCCCCTACATGTGTTCTTTCTGCATTGAAAATGACGGTTAACTGATGCTCAAGGCTCGATCACGCACTGTCTTGTGTGAGACTGCTGCTGGATGAAAAGGCTGATTGCTGACAGAGCACTAAAAAGGAGAGCTGCCTGCTTGGTTTGGGGAACCTGTTGGGGGACTCCATGTCAGCCAGGAACTGACATCAGTTTAGTTAGTTGCAGATGTTTTGTTTTATGCTGTGGACTTCTATGTATGGACTTGTTGTGCAAAGCCTTTATGCCCTAAATCTGTTTGCTGCCTTGTTGAATAAAAACAAGTGCAGGACAAACCTGATTGGACTGTCAATGGGTGTCCCTGTCTCCAGCATAGTTTACCACTTCCAATACTAATTAAGCCCCCC